TCTCAGCCTCCATCTCGTCGATGCCAAACTCCTCAGACCTTTATTTCCTCTCCCTCTTTCTCCTTCTCATCCCTGTTCACAAGAGTAGTGGACATACTGAGATCTGCTAACGTATTGGAGGGGGGAAATGGCCGGGCATCATAAACAGATTAAAAAAGAGAGAGAGAGGGAGGGAATGCGATTGATTAATATGTATTCTTGGAGCTGACTGTGCGACAGCCCTGATGGAGACACAAATGTGTGTCCGAGAGCCCTGCCATTTGTTACGGGACCAACAGGGAAAGGGAGAGTTATTCATACCACAGCAGATCTGTTGATCAGTTAATAAGGAAACATGCTCCAAGTGAGAGCCAAGAAGTGCTTTAATTTATCACTTTACTATACATCAAACAGCCAAAACAATATGACCACCTACCTTCTGGCATCATCTAAGCAGTCCAAGCAGGAGAGGGCTTTTTGTCAGGGTGGTCAAGATGTGGTTTTAGTTTCCATCAGAGGGGCAGAGTTCATTGTCACTGTAAATATTTACCCATGGGCTTAAATGATCCTGCCTTTACGTTGTTGTCATCTGTATCTAAAGCCCACATATAATGCAGGGGGGGGGGGGGGGGGGGCTGACCAATCAAAACCAGATGGTCTATTCCTTTTGGGCTACATTATCTTTGAAGGGAACTGGATCAGCTATTTTACACCTCTGAGAGAAAAGGTAGACCCAGTATTTGATTACATATTACCATTAGCACTATTGAGATGTCTTTTTACTTTAAATGTGAGGGTTTTTTTGTTAGTCTTTGTACCTGGAAATGAAATGCTTTGATTCTGTGAAATCCTACCTCCTCCTGTGTGAGGTCCACCCATTCATTATGTAACCCATCACGATGCAATGAATGAGAAGAAAGCATCCTTGGAAACGTCGGGGACAAATTTGTCCCTCATTCTCCTCCACCTCTTCATGTGCCACCATCGCCACCTCTAAACACAAGTTTCCCATCATTTTGCCGCTTGCTGCATTTCTTTTCACTCCTCCAGTTACGGGTGAATAAAACGTTCATATTATATTCCATTTTCTGAGAGGTATTCTTTAAGCTGTTCCATGTCTGCCACTAGATATCTTCAGCTTCTTTATATTTTTGAGGGTGCAATGGCGGCGCTGTTGACAGCAGTGGTGCTCTGACCAATCACACGCTTACGTTCTCTGTCTTGTTGGACGGATGTTGAGTAAAGTAAGCTCGACTTTGTCCCTACTTGCGAGCCTATATATATGGAAAGCCCTGGCAAGGAGGGATAATAGGGTTGTTTGTCTCCGCACCGACACAGATGGAGAAGTATAAATTAGGCTTTAGGAAACTCAATTGTTGTTTTGTGTTTAGTGGTCTAGTGGATAAAGCATCTGCCTTTCCTCTTGTTTTGTCGTGTCCTGGCGTAGGTTCAACTTGTGGTGTTGGCAGTAATTAATTTTTAATGAATTTATCTTTTTTTTATATGTATTTTAGTTTTATTGATTATTTTCTGCAAAATATGTTTGTGTCTCTAGAGATCTTTGAATCTGGTCATTTCCAAGCAGCTTTTTAGTTGGAATGATCTGGATGGGATGCAGAAAACCCAATCATCTACTCACCTCACATGGACTCACATAGGCTTCAGCTGGCTAAATAATAAAAGAAAACAAAACTAGATTAGTCCTTCTATTTTAAACAGTTCACCGATAAAGAGTCGGAAACATAATACTGACAAGTGTAGCTAAAAAATAAGAAAAATAAATTACTGCTGAGACTGAGATTCGAACCAGCGTAAGGTCATAGCAAACCAACATGCAGGCAAAGTTGGTGCTCTACCCACTAACCCACTAACTATAAACCTTTTACAATAGTTTAGTCGCCTAACACACATACCCTGTGCTGGCTATTATGTGTGTCTTTGTGGACAGGATGCACGTTTTTTATGGGCAGTGTTTTGTCCCCAACGCAGAGGAAATTTGTCATAATATCCACTCAGGTACTGGTGGAAGTTTAAAGCAGTCATCTGTGAAATGACGGTCACATTCTCGACTGCAGAAATTAAATCAACCCGCTCTATACTCACAACTCGGAGAAAGTGGGTGTTAGTGGCCTACATCCAGGGAAGGCAGGTTACAGATTTGAGACTAGCTTCATGGGGAGGAGAAAGGCCTGGTGAAGCACTCAGTTTCCATCCTTGTGTCTGTAGGTCTTTTCTCAG